TCCCATTCCTTTCTTATACCCATTTTAACCTTTAACTTTAACAAAATTACAAAATTATCAACACCAAATAAAAAAATCAATGCCTATAGCTTGCTCCTCTCATCAAACCTTCTTTATTGTTTGGACCGGCCGGTTCATCGGTTCAACCGATTGAACCGGTCAAACCGGAAACCGGACCTGAAAACGGTTCAATGACCGGTCCGGTTTTGAAAACATTGGTGCAAATAGCATATCATGCAATTATTTTACATGGATAAAAAAAAAAGCAGCCAAGTCAGATTTCCAAACTCATTATAATTATTTAATATTAAAAACATTTTTCAAAATTATGCTTATACCCTTATCTTTTTCATCTTCTTCCCCCGATCCCCTTCTCTCTCTCCATTCATATTCCTCAACTCCATCATTCAGCTCTTCCTCCCCTCGCTCTCTTTTCTGCAGCACTTTCTCCCTTCTACCTTCTCCGATCCCTTTCTTTTTCTCTTCCTTCTTTCCCTTTTCTCCCTTCCTTCCCTCATTCTTCACAGATCTAGGTTTGTACAAAACTAGATTTATGGGTTTCAAAACCCATAATTCTGGGTTCTTACAAATTTGTTCTTCATATCCCTCCCTTCTACCTTCTCCAATCGTCCATCCCCTTCTTTCTACCGCTTTCCTCTGTATCCCCTTTCATCAAACCTAGCAGATTTGGATTTATGAACTCACCCAGGTATAGGTTCGTGTGGAACCTAGACGAATTGAATTCGAATGAATCTGGATTTGAGTTCGCATATAACCCATCTAAATTTTGTTCAAACTATTCTCCTCCTTCTCTCCCTCCCCTCCTCCATTTCCTTTGAAGCTACTAGCTAATCTTTGGATTCATTTCAAGGATTCGCAAACCCAGGTTTTTTGGGTTCACATATGGGTTTGTTTAGGGTTGTTAAATCCATCAACTTTAAGAATTAATTTAGATTTTTGTTTCTTTCCTCTTCAGTTGTGATTGACAATTAAAATGAAGGTTTAAGCAACAATTGATTATGGTTTTGAATTTGGTTGGTTGTTGGATTTGACCTCCATGAATCTGCGATCTGGGAATGAAGAAATGAAGGGGGCAACTGGCAAGATTATAATTTCAGTAGAGGGCAAAAAATAAATTAAAAGTGGGGTCTGAGAATTTTTGTTAATTTAATCAAACAAGATAGGTGAGAGTGGGACCTATTTTTATATTTTAATTAAGATAAATAAATATTAATTTTGAATGTCATTGAGTGGGTCTCATTTTTAACTTGTCATTGAGTAGTTGGCATGAGTTTTAGTTCAGGGAAGCATTTTTTATTAGTTGCATATTTATGTTATTTTTTGCTTTTAATTCATTTAATTATTTTAACTTATCAAAATGATAGAAGAGGAGAGAAGGGATTTAAGAGACATAATAATATATTGAAAAATAAATCCTTAATCAAATTTTTTATTTAAAATTGTAAGATTTATAAAAACTAAAAACCACAAATCACCTAATAAGCAATAAAGCATAAATCTAATAAGAAAGAAAAATCAGCCGCGCGAGCAGACGGGAAGCGTCTCACCTTCATATCATGTGTCCCACACGGACAGGCAAAAAAGCCCCACATGCCTTCTCAAACCAAAACTTCGCCAAGTATGGTTTTTCATGCACCATATAAAGTTTAAAAATAAATTAAAAAGATGCTCTAGCAATAGGACCAAAACTATATAATTAACCATACTTACAAACTTCGTCCGATGATATTCAGGAACTCAGCCACTAGCTGTTAAACACAGACAAACTTTAGCAAGAATGGTTTGGCTGATGACCCCTTCTTTTGAGCGCAAGATATGTTTAGTCCATGCTATACTTACGTAGAATATATGTAAATGCACATGTGAACTCTCAACAAAGAACATAATAGGATATCAAGAGTGAAGAAGTAGATGACATACCTGCGTGCTTGACAGAAAATGAAATGAAATTATAAGAGGTGGACACCTGACAACAAACCTAACTCTTTCTTATATAATTGAGGAAGCCAGGGAGTAGGAGACAACTTTCAAATGCAAGCAAGTCAATGAACAAGTCAATAAGAGGCATCTATGGATACTGTAGGTGATTGGAAAAATTTTAAAAACAATTTTTTTAGAAGTAAACTTTTATTTAAATATCTAAAAATGATGGAGAGAAATTTTAATTTTAATTTTTAAAGTAACATTTAAGTAATTTTGAGAAAATTATATATTTGAATTTTTT